AAATAAATAAATAAATAATAAAAATAATAAAATAAAAGAAAAACCTTGTGTAAAGAGAAAACTAAAATGAACTTAACTCATTGAATCATAAACATCAATTGTTCTTTTCCCTTCTTTTATTCAACCAAATCACTCTTACCCAGCAGACACCCCTAGATCTATAATTTCATGTGGCCAAATCCTCTAGTCATCCTTCTTTAGTCTCTGTTAAGAGGTGACAAAGTTATGAAGAATGTCAAGACTGACTTTTCTATCAGCAAAATTTTGACAAAGTATAGTATCTGAATCCAATGTAGGATATATGAGACAAGCATTAGGAAGTAAATATGTTTTTTTATCTGGAGCTTAACAACACACACAGTGTGCACCATGCATATGCAAACACGCATCCCAACCAAAAAGTGTCCAGAGTTAAATTGATGTAGGGTGTAGGGTTTTATTTATCACGAATTTTGCTGTAAATAGAAACAACTTATAGGTCTCACAAACTTTGCATATCTGGTAAGTACAACAGGTGCAGAGACAACTACAGTTGCGGATAGAGGCCCAGGGGAAGTACTTAAAGAAGATAATTGAAGAACAACAACGTCTTAGTGGAGTTCTTTCTGATACACCTGGATCAGGAGTTTCTGGCTTAGCATCAGGAGATAATTGTCCTGAATCAGACAAGAAGACTGACCCAGCAACCCCAGCCGCAACTTCAGAGTTTCCTGTTCAAGAAAAGCTTGCCAAAGACCGTGTCCCTGCCAAGAGCCTTTCAATTGATGAGTCTTTCTCATCTCATCATGAGCCATTGACCCCAGATTCAGGTTGCCGGGTTGGTTCCCCAGCTGGAAGCCCTAAAGGAGATAGATTGACAAAGAAGCAAAGGGTAAGTGCTGGTGCAGCATATTCTAAACAAGAGATGGTACTTTCTTCACCCCAGATTTTAGAGTCGAGCATTGGTTCTTCCTACCAGCAGTCACACCCAGGTTTCATGACAAGGGAGCAATTTGATCCATCATCTGGGGTATCAATTGGGAATGAAGATCAATTGGAGAAGGTTTCTGGAAGTGATCTGTAATTTCATTGCCACATGGTATATGTACTTTATTTTATTTGGCTTTGTCGTGTATTTATTGGAGGAAATGTGTAGCTAGGTAAAAGAATGCTGTGTTAGTGACAGACGTTGGAGATTGTTAGATTTAACCTAAGCACTGCTTATAAATTTGCTTTTGGAAACTTCTCAATCAGGGCGGTTAAAATGTGATCTATTTTGGATGGCCAATACAGTTAAACGTTCATTTGAAATAAAAATTTTTCCAAACAGCAGTGATACATGCCCTGGTTGCTCCTCAGTTGCACCTCTGGGCAGGCCTTGGTTCTTGGGGGCCAGGCCTCCTACGGATGCTAGGAGACTTCCATGGTTCTATGTAGATTAACTTGGAGCTTTTGAAACACGCAACGCTTCTCAAAAACAAAATATGAGCCTTCTGACTTCTGATTTGAGGCATGAACTATGTGAAACCCCACGTGGAATAAAATACAAACTAGAAATCAAAATAGAACAGATGCTTGTGAGACACCGAAGCTTCTTGTTCATCAGCATGGTAAAGCTTGGGAAAAAAACCTAAACAACTGCAATTACAGATGCCTTGTATGGCAAAGGAGCAATCATGACGACGCGCGTCTCTGATGGTTTACTCGCTTTAGGATGCAAAGACGTAGACGTTTGCTAAGAGCCTCCAGCTTTTCAAACTTCTCACGTTTAGGCTTCTTTGGGGCTGTTGGAACTTTCTTCTTTTTCTTCTTTTCCTCTTTTGGCGGATTTGATGAATTTGGTTGCATGCTTCGTAGAGGTGTTGCAAGCACATCAAGAGCAACCTGGGAGACCAAGAAGAATATGATTAAAACTATGACGCATTTAAGGTAGAGATCATCATCACTGCCACCTGCAAAAAGGTGGAAAAAAAAAAGGCATGAGAGATACCTGATGGCTATTGTCAGCAGTTCTACAGTCTGCAGAGGATTCTTCATCACTGCCACCCAATGAAGAACATCTACCCCAACTCTCCCTATTTGAGCTGGTGTACGAGCAACATTCCTCATTTGGGCCATTAGGCTTATCCTGTAAAAAGGGCCATAGAAATCCAGTAAAATGAGAAAAGAACAACTCCAGTCACCAGTAGAGCAGCAAGCATAAATTGGAATAACACAACGAGTTCATGATTCTGCTAACTCATCCACTGTCCAGTAGTTCAACAACCATCCTCAGAACAAAGAAAAAGCCAGATTGGAGGCAATATACAGAGAAACTTCCAAGTTTAGCTAAAGTCAATTTCCCACTTTAGAGTAAATCAAAAGTGGATCAGTGATCCCATCTTCCCTCTTAAAAGAGCAGACATGCCATACAAACACACAGCAAAAATCTCCAGACACATGAAGGGATAGTTTGAAGGGGCAAGCCACATTGTATTATAGATTTCATGGATACCTGTAAATTGGAAGGGTCATCCATGTTAAGGCTAACATCCTCGTTAAGATTGCAATCCTGCATTGTTAATAGAAAGTAATAAGAAAAGATTGCATGAGATGAAATAGTAAAGAAAATAGACAGTACAGCAGAGAGAGAAGATACATACTACCACACCAGTAAGTGGGGCAACTTCTGAAAGCAGTTCTGCAACTGGTTTTGTGGTCAAAATGCTAGAAGGTGCAGAAGATGAACTTGCAGCATCAGCAGAAGCAGAACGAAGACTGGTGATTATTTCATACAGCAAACTCTAAAAAAAAAAAATGTACAAATTAGATTACCTTTTTATGGGACATTCACTACTTTGTAATGCCCAAAACAAGTATTTTTATGTCAGGAGGTTTTTTTCCCATTAATTTCGAATATTTAAGAGAATGTCAATTCTGATTCAATGTGTCTAAGAATGTGTCAAGTACAGTTTGAATAGGATAAAGTGAATAGACAATGTAACACAGGTAAAAGGATAGGTTGAGCCTAGAAGGTTGAAAAGCCCAATCCCTCACCCTTGTGCACATTTGCATATAAAAGAATAGTACAAAATACCAACAAGAAGGAAATGGTACAGGTCTAAAGTAATATGTTAAAAGATATGGAGGAAAGTAACTCACCTCATCCATACCAGCACCAACCTTCAAATCCTCAAGGTCATAATATTTCTCAAGCTTACTGGAACAAGCAGAAGGAATCTGAGGAGGGTGAAGAACATTGTAGAAGAAGATGGACACTGAATCATAATAAAACTGTGGCCTTGAAGTGTTGTGATCACCATCAAATTTTATAATATTTTTATCTCCCTGCAGAGGTCATACAGTAACCAATACTTTAGGGATGAGCCAGTACTTTCAAAAGAGATATCATACTTCAGAATGGTACACTACCGCATAGGATTTAAATATGAGGTCAGAATGATGAGGTTGAATGAATTTATCACCACTAGCATGCCCAAATAAGGCAGGAATGAATGTTTTTGGTGCAACCTGAAAATTTTGAAGAACAATGGCATGTTAATTAAAATATATAAAATAGTAGATGCAGCAAACATAAAATGGTATAACTTAACGTAGGACAGATATAAATTATCTACTGATAATCTGAAAAAGATAGACTTAGATCTTCAAAATTAAAAGAATTAAATAATTTAAGATGTGAAATTTCATTGTTATCAGGTTAACAGCATCAAAAAAGATGACTCACCTTTGGGCAGTTAAGAGCCATAATATCAAATTTTGCCTTCTTTTGAATTACACGCCGCATGTACTGCACTGCCATCTTGACCTAATTGGAACAGGAGTGCAGAGAAATTATCATAAAAAAAATATAACATTCAACATCTAAGGAGTTCTCCATTGTACTAATTATGAAGTTAACTAAGATGTCAATCTAGCTAAAAGATAAATAATGACAGTTTGAAGAAAATATGATATGATCATAATAACCCAAAACTCATGAGCACATATCTAAGAGCTGTGATCTGAGCTATAACCACATGAAAGGCCTCCAATTTAAATGATAGGGTAACAAATTACCCCAATAGGTCATCCATTATCCTTTATAGCCATCAGGCTACTTTTAGGTAGAACATAGAGCTTGGGTTCTAGCAGTAGTAAACTAGCAAAGAAAAAGAGACAGAAGAGACAAAAAAAGAAGTAGAGATAATCCATTCTATTTGTTTCTAACAAAAGCACACACAGACATGCATGCACCAGAA